AACAACAAGAAGGGTGATGCAGACAGCAGCAGCAGTATCAGCAGTTCTGTGTGGGTGCGTGTACCACTACTAATTGTGGTTCCACTGGCCTGTATTCTTGTGTGCTGATTATAATGATGGTTATGGTGTGACTCAGGTCATCCTTTGTTTTCTCTTTTTCTTTTTTTTGCATGCATCCCTACAGTCTAACTAATCTTTCACCTGTTGGGATTTCTTCTTTTTTTGTTTCTTGGTGTTAATGTGTTTTGTGTGTTTTTGCTCTCTCTGTGTTTATCCTATAATTATTATTGCTACTCCATTGAGTGTGTGTGTGTGTGTTCTTGGAGACTCTCTCTCTGTGTGCACCTGGGCTTGCACTGTGATGATAATGATGATAATGAATTGCTTTTTGCAGAGGGTAAAAAAGAAATAATAATAACCGATGAATTTATAAATATAATTGCGTATATAGACACATATATAGACTTACACCCATAGTTGGTATATTTCTGTGTTTACTGGGTAAGTTGGGCTACGTGTTAATATCTGTTTCTTTGCTTTTTGTTTGCTGGGTCGTTATGGACGTTGCCCTGCGGCAATAATAATGGTGAGTCCTTGAAACAATATGACAGTAAGAGACAAATATAGTATTAATTGCGTATTAACTCAAACATAAGCAACGTTTGCTGCATTATGTGTTTCGTGCTCTTAAGTCCTTTTTTTTCTCTTGCTTAGGTGTATGTGGTGTTGTTTATTCCTCGTTTTATTTTTTCTAATGTGTTTTTACGTCTCGGTTTTGTTTTGCTCTATTCGTATTTTAGACTGTGTTGTAATTGTATTTTTTGTTTTTTTTGTTCTTATTTGTTTCTTGCGTTTGCAGTTTAATTCGTCCAAATCAAGAAACATTTTTTTCTTCTGGAGATGGTTCTGTGTCGTACGTTGCTTTCTGTTATTTTGCTCTTGAGCATTGCATGTGTGGGTGTGGTGACTAAAGTGTCTGCTTCTACTGGAGAAGTTGCAGGGAAAGAGGGTGATAGAGGTATTAAAGGTGCTGAAGGTCCTGCCGGTCCTACAGGTCCTTGTCCTCCTGGTGAGGGAAAACAAGTTACTTGTCCTTCTAAGAGTGCTGAGACTTCTTGTTCTTCTACGCCTTCTGATTCTACTGATGCTCGTACTTGTACTCAAACCGAAGCGGAAGAGCCGCATCCAAGAGTTCCTGATGCTACAGCTCTTGTTCCTCCTCTTCTTCCACCAGGTCCTGTCGATCCCAAAGGTTCTCACGGTTCTCAAGGTTCTGGTAAAGCTTCTTGTTCTGAGGGAGGGGAAAGTGACGTAAATTGTCCGTCTGATAGTGCTGAGACTTCTTGTTCTTCTACGCCTTCTGATTCTAATGATGGTCGTACTTGTACTCAAGTCGCAGGAAATGGGCATAATTCCGATCAACCTCCTGGTACTGCTGGTGAAAGAGGTGACCAGGGTCCTGCTGGTACAGTTGGCACTCGGCAGGGTTCTGATACTCAAACTGGTAGTGATCCTGGTTCTTCTTCTGCTCATCCTAATGCATCTCTTCCATCTGAATCTACTACTGAGGAGAGAAGGGATCCATCTCCAACTGACTCTCAAACTGAACAACGTGGCGGCATTACGACAGAAGAGAGTGTAGCTAACCAGGGAGGTGATGCAGCACAACCCTCTTCTTCTTCCAGTAGTTCAACCACGGAGAGTGCCGGAGCTGCGGATAATGAAACAAAAGAGAACGGCACTTCATCTGCAGAGAGTGAATCAACCGGTGAGCAATCAACTTCAACCACCACTACCACCACTACCACAACTACAACACTTCATCCTGATCCTGCAAACAACAAGAAGGGTGATGCAGACAGCAGCAGCAGTATCAGCAGTTCCGTGTGGGTACGTTTGCCACTACTGATTGTGGTTACACTGGCCTGTATTCTTGTATGCTGATTGTGGTAGTGGTGGTGTGGTGTGACTCAGATCATCCTTTGTTTTCTTTTTCTTTTTTTGCATGCAATCCCTACAGTCTAACTAATCTTCCACCTTTTGGGATTCTCTTTTTCTTTTTTGTTTCTTAATGTTAATGTGTGTTTTTGCTCTCTCTGTGTTTATCCTATTATTATTATTATTGCTACTACTCCATTGTGTGTGTGTGTGTTCTTGGAGACTCTCTCTCTGTGTGTGCCTGGGCTTGCACTGTGATGATAATGATGATGAATTGCTTTTTGCAGTGGGAAAGGAAAAGAAATAATAATAACAGATGAATTTATATTTATAATTGCGTATATACATACACATATATAGACTTACACCCATAGTTGGTGTATTTCTATGTTTACTGAGTAAATTGGGCTAATGGTTAATAACTGTTTGTTTGCTTGTGGTTTGCGGGGACATTCTATTCTGTACTGCGGGAGTCTGTGATTGATATGGATGTCCTTTTTGTATCTTCCTTTACTGATTTAATTCTCTGTATTGCTGTGTTTCTGATTTTGTTTTGGTTTCAACACTGTTGAGGTTCTTTTGTGCTTCTCTACTTGTATGTACGTCTGTTTTTTGGTATTACGAGTATTTTGTTAATCTCTCATATTGTTGTTTTCTTTGTAGTTGAGTATTTGTAAGCGAAACCCAACAACCACTATTATGGCTATGCAGATGATGATGGGCCACGTGCTGTGCTAACTGCCTTTCATGCTGTAGTGCTTCTGTGGAAGTGTGATGGCTAACCAACATCAGGGTTATCGTGGTGTACATGGTGCTCCTGGATTGGCTGGAGTGCCTGGTGGTGTTTATCCTGATCCTTTAGGACCCCACGCCGGTATTCCTGGTGTGCCTGGT